CTCTCTCTCTCTCTCTCTCTCTCTCTCTCTCTCTCTCTCTCTCTCCACCCCCCCTCTCTCTCTCTGTGCCAAGAGTCTCCCTCGCTCTCTCTGGCGAGCAAAGGCACTGTCTATCTACTAAGGCCCACGTCACCAGGTGCGGGCAGGTAATGATTTTCTTGTGGGTGCAGGGGGGTCCGGGTGAAGGTTTTTTACAGGTGGCGGGCAGGTCGGGCCTGGGGGCAAAATTTTGAAGAAAAGCTTGGGTGGGCCGAATGACCATCACCTATACCTATTTTCAGTAGCTTGTTTATGATCTAATGGCCCCGGTACCTCAATTTGTTCATAAATTGTTTTTACATGTGCTCATATGCGACGCTGGGCCCGGTTCCCCAGCACGTGCTGCTCCCCACGAATAGATTGGAGCATGTCTTTAAAATAAATTAAAAATTAAAAAAAAAACATGAGAACGCTGGCAAGCCGGCCATGTGGAGGGCTCTACACGGGCATATTCCACATCTCTCTCGTCTCACAGCAGAGTGGCCATAAACAGAAAATCTCCAGAAGCCACAGACTGAGTGTGGTGAAACAGTCCCTCAGTCTTTTCTTCGAGGAAAGGCAACCGAACATCTTCCTGTCTTGTCCTACAGTGATTGTAATCTATAGATGGTGGGATGGCATGCAGAGAAATGAGATGTGAAGAGGGGACTGGAGGGCCCCTTTACTGGGGCATTGCCGATCGATGCTCACTAACAGCTCCTACACAAATATTTTTCCACTCACGAGGAGTCCAGGATCAAGGCGAAGTTCAAACAGATCTGGCTGGTGTGGTGATGTTCAATAGGCTCAAGGTCACTTAGGATGCACGGTACAGCTTGGAACGAACCGGAAGAAGTATGGGGATTCAACAACGGGAGGAGACAAATCTATGTCCGGTACGATTCAACAACAGGAGGGTGAGGAACCAATTTGGGCATGTCAGGATGGGACTTGGCCCTGTCCCCCCAGGGCCCAGGGTTGCCTATGGGTGCAAAGGGTCTGAAGCGCAATTGTAGCATCACTGGAAGAAGACACATCAGTCTTTGAGGGATGCCTCTGGGGACTGGTGTCAGAAGGGGTTCTGGAAGGGTCCAAGCATGTGCACATGGCCTGGTCACAAAAGCAGTGACAAAAATGAGGGTACCTCAGAGGACTTTGGAACCTTAGGGGGTGGGAGTGCAAGGCTCCCAGGCTTCAGCTGCCCTGAGAAGGCTGCGGTAGACCCTAGGGCATCGCCTAAATGAAGGTCCGGCCACAGGTAACTACTCGGTAGGCCCTCGTGCAGGCACGTGGGCGTGGGGACACACTGGTAGGGACTGCCTTTTGGAAGGCCCAGACCCCTGCCTGCAGCATGAAAAAAAGAAGGCAGGCCAAGGCCTACAACACATTGGGCTGTCGGCAGTACCAGGAGGCAGCCTGCCAGCCGCAGGCGATAACCAATGCCCAACAGCAAAGACGCAGGGGCTGCTTGTGCTGCTTGTGCATGCGCTAGCCATATTTAAAGGGAGGCAGTGGAGTGCAAGAAAGGAGGCGAGGAGGAGGGGACAGTCTTGAAGAGGAAGAATGCTGCGGGGACAGGCGGACACTAGTCTGTTTTTGTATTGATCATTTGGAAGAGAGAAAAGGGCTTTCATTACCAAGAGACTTCAGTTGTCAGTGCGTTCATGCTTTGGTGTGCTGTCGACCTCTTGTCAATTCTGCTTTCAGCTTGGCCTGTTCATCCATGGTCTTCAACGAGTTCGCTGCTTGAAATTTTTGTGTTCTTACATGCTCGTTCCTGGTATAACCAAATGAAACAGCACTACTCAAGTACTCATTTGTTCCCGAAGATAAACAGCACCCTCAACCGCTCTTTGAAGTTCATTGGACTGTACATTCTTGAACACTGAGAGAATGACTCACATTGCACCAAAATGTAACACTTTACGGGCAGCAATGCACATTTTATTTGCGTCTTTCATGAGACTGCTGAATAGGCCACTCTTCATAGCTCTCCTCCCTATCCCTTCCCTATCCCTTCCCTATCCCTAACCATATCCCTATCCCTATACTACTATACTTACTTTACTTTACCGTACTTTACTTTAAATGTAGCAGCAGTTTTAATATTACCGGAAGGATTTGAATAAGCATCTCCTGATCGTATGTATCCCGATATAAAAGAAAAGATGGGCAATCTTTCTTTTCAGCCTTACAGCAGTCCTCACGTGGGTCCCAACAGAAACTGGGCGGCGCCGCGCGGGACCCTTGACGGGCAGCGGGTAAGGGGGAACCGGTGGAACCCGGGGCGGGGGGTGGAAAAATCCCGGTGCACGCGGGCAGAAGAGGAGTCTGCTCGCGTGGAGGGGATTTGTCAGTATGTTGGGCAATCGGGCCTGAAGCGACGTGACGGACGGGGCGAAGCGGTAAGTGGCATGGCATGAATAGACTACCGGCAAGCGGGGCGGCGTCCTTTCGTGCGGGTGTGTGTGTGTGTGTGGAGAGAGAGAGAGAGAGAGAGAGAGAGAGAGAGAGAGAGAGAGAGAGAGAGAGAGAGTACTTCCATCGATAGGATGAGCAAAAT